ACAAGCGCTCCCAAGAGGCAACATGTGTCTTTTATTTTTATTTAAAATTTATTTCTTTTTGTTTATTTTAATTTTTGCTATTTATATTTTATTTTTAGAATAAAGAATAAGCATATTGAAAGATTGCAAGAACGAAGTTGATTGTTCCCACACTTTTGAGCTCTGATTTGGAAGCACGCCCGTGCTCATCACATACATGGCCGTGCATTGAGTTGCAGTTGTGAGAGAAAGCTTTACATCATAAGTATGGGCGTGCTCAAGATTTCAGCATGGTCGTGCTCTCTAACAAGAAGTCATCGCGCCAAGAATTATCAGGGAACCTCTTTCCTTTTTATTCAATTGCCCTCTTTGCATGGTTTTAAGTTAATTGCTTTCAAAGATTGAGGACAATGTTTCGCTTTAAGTATGGGAGAGTAGTTCCTAATTATATGATTGTTATTTGCATGTTACTGAGTAAAATGCCTATACTATTTTTTATGATAATTTAAAACTTTTTCCCTCATGGAACCCAATTTTTTCCAGATAAAAGAGCATGCTGAGTGATTATTATTGGCATTATACTTTCATTTGGAAACTAATAATTAGCTGGGTTCCTTACTTTTATACTTTACATTAAACTTTAACCCACAGATGTGAGTTTTGGGCCTTAAAGGATATTTCTATCTTAATTTAATTAATTGTATTCCTTTCCTCATTGTTTTGTGTGATTATCTCCTTAGCTTTTGTGCTCTAGAACTTGACTTGGAACTGACTTAAGACTTCTCTTTTTAATTGCATGTTTTTAATATGATTGAGGCATAATAGGATTTTTATTCTTGGCCATCAGCATGTTTGAGATACAACTAGTTGCCCACTTTGAGCTTTATCAATTTTCTTGGTTCTTTACATTAAATTTATAAAATATTTTGATGACCTTGAGTTTATGAATAGAGCAATTGAATTGTTTAATTGCTTGATAAATTCTCGTTTATATCTCTCATGTGCAAAAAGAAAGTATGAAAAAGAAAATGAAAAAAAAAGAAGAAAAGAAAAACGGTTATATATGATTGAAAAGAGAGAAGAGTAAAGATATTGTTCGCATACAAAAATATAAAAATTACTCCAAGAGCTTCATTTGTAAACTTAGGGGATGTTTATAATTTTTATAATTTATTACCCCTTCGTATATTCCCTTTCTTTCATTTATCTCACCTTAATTATTATAACCCCTTGGCCACATTATAACCTGAAAAAGACCTTATGATTTTTACTTGCATTTAATTTATTTAGTGGAGAGTCGGTTTATAGTCAAACTTATGGTAGTACACTTCTCTTTAGGAGAACTGAGTGATGTCTTATTTTGTCCCTTAGTGAGAGAGGAAAGTAGAGTACCTCAGTTTGATATTTGAGTGAAAAGTATGGAAATATAAGATTTTAATTGGGAATCCTTTTGATTGCTTATGTTCAGTGATATTACTCTTGTTGCTCTCTTTATCTCCTCATCTCGGGTTCCTTGTGTGGTAATATGTTTTAAGTTATTATGTTACTCTTAACCATCACTTTGCTTGAGGACAAGCAAACAGATAAGTATGGGGGAGTTGATAAGTCTGTAATTAGGCCCTCTTTTACAGCCTATATATTCATATTTGACATTTATTTTATTTGAGTTTTACACTAATTTATATATTAATTGTGTAGTTTGGTATAAAGAGGCCGCAAATGGATTTTAGGTGCATTCTGGGCCCAAATTGATGGAAGATTAGAGCTTCGCAGTAGTCAGCACGCCCAAACCCATTCAATAAGCACGAGAGTGCTTCGAGCCATGCACGGCCGTGCTTAAGGCCTTGCACGACCGTGCTTATCTGCGGGAAGCCCAATTATGAAGAGTTTGTAGGGTTTTCAAATTTTATAAATGGGAAGATCTAAGACACCGTTTTAGACCAGTTTTTGACATCTTGGCTTTGGCTCTAGAATACATCTGATCTCGTCTCTCTTGCACGAGATCCTTAGCACATGCTTAGTGAGACTTAGAGCTTCAAGCGATTATACTTGAAGACTGAGAACTCATCTCATTCTAGTTTGCTTTTGATTATGGCTTTGTTTATGATTATTTTAGTTATTTTCTTTAGCATTAGTAACTAAGTCCACAGCTAGGGCTATGAGAACTATTGTTCATGAATTTATGAAATTTTGATGTTTGAATCTAAATTGGATTTCCGTTTTGTGATTAGATTTTATCCTATTGCTTTCTTTTCTTAATTCTAATTAATTATATCGTCAGGCGACCGTACCTCGGTTACTTAATAGATCTATAGGGTAAAACGAGACAAAGGATTAGGTGGACCAAACCAATCTTTCTCTTTTAATCGTTATTAAATTAACAAGTTCATAGGTTCCTTAAGCTTTCTTAAATTGATGTCTTGCATGACCATTGGGATGTTAATTTAGAGAAAAGAATATTAATATTGCATAACCATTGGGTATTAATAGTATTCGTATGAATGATTGGTAATCACAAGGAAATTGAATTTAGAGTTAAATAGAAAAATAACATAAGTGATTGAATGGGAAAACTCATATGCCCTAGGTTCCTCTCCGATAAGTTTAACCAAGGCGTGCATTGTATTCTTTACTCTTAGTTTTATAATTGATTTTATAAATTCTTGCTTTTAATTAATCTCGTATCTTTGAAACTTAAACAATTGAATTAAGAAATTCTTAGTAATTAGAAATCAATCCTTGTGGGACAATATTTCGGAAATTTAATTTAATAACCCTTTTATTACTTCTCGATGGGTACATTTGCCCCTCTGAATAGCGGGTATGGAGATGGGTACTATAGTACCTTACCCATTGTCATCCCTAATTTGACAGCTCTCTCTCTCTCTCTCTATATATATATATATATGCCGGCCTGTCAGGTTTAACATACTTTGTAAACAGCTCAAGCTTGGCTTGTTTACTTAAATAGACCTTAAAAAAAGCCTAAGTCTTATTTATTAAAAAGACCATGCCTAAACCAGACCAAGCTGTAGCCTGCAGACCCTTATCAGGCGGTCTACCCTTTTTCTATCTCTACTGACAATAAAAACTAAACAATAAATTATTTCATTGTAAAATTCCTTATTCCACAACATCACCTGCTTACAAAGTTTTGGAGAAAAAACTTTTTTTAATAATTAAGCAAATAACTTCAATTTGGTGGAGAGTTTAATTTGAATTTATCTTTTAACAAGTTTAATTTATAATATAAAAAATTCTGAAACTAATGCATGTACCCTTTTGTTAATTAATCTAATTTAATACAAAGAAAATCATAATTCACTTTTTCTAAATTTAATTTTCGTTTACCAAGGTTTATAATTTTCTTACAGAAAAGTTCGTAATTGATAAAATAGGTGAAATGGCTTCAAGATTTCATATGCTTATAAGAAAAATTAATGATCCTAAGTTTGATGGCATAGACGTTGGCCTCTTCCTATTGGATGCATCAGAATTCAGAATGGAAACCCACAAGTGAACAATGAGCATGAAGGGGTTTTAGCCCAATTAAGCCTAAATGCATTGGTACATAACAAGATCCACAAACATTTTGATAGTTAGGCCTTATCCTTGTCAAAAATGATGAGCTACAAAACTGAGGAGGATGGTGGAAGTACCCATTCCCTTTATCCAAGAACCAATAGCAAGACTTTCATCCCACCCAACAACTTTTAAGTGTTAATGGGAAACAGTGAATTGTGTTCTACACTTTTACCTGAAGTGTGAATCGTTATTCAAGATCACAAGTTCCTAGTGGAGCTATTTGTATTGTATCTAAGGGAGGCATATATCATTTTGGGAGTACAATGGCTTAAAACTCTGGCCCATTGTTACTAACTAAACATTGACTATGAGGCTTTTTATATTTTTTGGTCATTGGAGGAGGGAGATGTGAGAAAATTTCAAGACTCAGGACTCAAACCTTGGTCATTTGTGTAGGTTAAGTTTTGTGAGAGAATCTTTGTTTTGCCATATTAATGATGGCCACATCACCCAAAACTGGACAATGCCCTCCCCTGAAACTCAGCCTACCATCCTTCCCTTCCTCATTATTCTTTTAGCGACCCCTTGACGTGTTGTTTGTCATGCTTAACCCAAACAATTTTAGGTTCTTTGTAGTACAACATAGGTCATCTTTCAAGGATCAATTCAAAATTTTCAAGCAAATTAAGATGAGTTAGTTAGCAAGGGGATTATCAATTCATACATACTTAAATTCAAATAAAATATAAAAGAATTATTAATAAAAGTATCAAGCTTAGAATTTTATGTATAGTAAAATTCATCGTAGATCTCAAAGGAATAATTCAGAATTGCAAGCTCGCATACAATCTCTTCAGATTCAATTAACAAAGGATAACACAAAATAAAAATCTCAATTATCAAATAAACAATATTGATTTTACACCAATTCAATTAATGTAAACTCACAAATCTTTACGAGTATACTCTCCTTATATTTGAATAGACTGGATTAATTAATCCTCAATTTTATCATAGTTGCAAAATATAATTGTAATTGTAACAAAGAAGAGATATTTAATACAATTCTAAAAAGATTAATTAGGAGCCAAATCTTCGAAATAATCAGAAGTTTAGAAATATTTCACTTTAATTTAATTTAAATTAAATTAATAAATTTAAAAAATTAGTTAGTACATTTAAATAATGACTAAGAAATACAAATATATATATAAAAAAAATTATTCTCGTCATTCTTAATACGTTTTAGTATAATTTTCAACAAAAATTAATTAATACACTGCAAGACCATATAATACCAAATTACTTATCATCTCGTCCCCTCTCCCCAACGGCTATCAATTCAAATTGAATCCACAGAGAGAGAGTGACGGAACCAAAAGATCTTGGCAATTAAATCCTTTTCAGCGCCGATTTCACAATTCACCATTTTCTCCAATTCCAGTTTTGCCGCTTCAGCTTCTTTCTTGATTACTGATTTTGAACCCGTGCCTTTGAGTTCGAGCAACAACAATGGATTTTCCTCCAGAAATCGACGATTACATCAAGGAATCCATCGATCACTGCTTAGGCCTCCCCGTGTCTTCGCGAACCCTCCACATCAAGCTCCTCGCTTCCCACGAGTCACAGCGTCAACTCCGCGACCAGCACCTTTCCCTTCTCGCGAAGTTGAAGGCGAAAGACGAACTCATCGAACGCGCTAGGGTTTGTTACCTTCTATTCTTTTCCCGATAATTATTAGTTATTGTTACTGATTTTAAAAAAAAATAAATTTTTACCTTGTGTTTTTTTTGGGGGGTTTGATTTTGATTAGTTTGAAGCGAACATGAACGCGCAAGCAGTGAAGAGGTTCGTTGAGGAGAATCAGAAGTTGGCTTCGGAGTGTGAGAGTTTAGTGACGCAGTGCCAGAAATTGGAAAGGGAATGCGCGCTCTACGATCACGATAGGGAAGCGTTGATGGAGTTTGGGAACGAAGCTGATGAACGGGCGCAAGAGGCTCACGCGCGTGCCCTCGAGTTGGAACGCGATTTGGGCTTGTTGGAGCAAGAGTTGAAGAAATACAAGCAGGGGAACGAATCGGTATCGCTGATTCTTCGTCTTTGTTGTTTTATTGGCTTCTTTCGACTGATTTGTGGGAATTGATTTGTATGCAGTTTTTGTTGGAATTTCTTAAATTTGACAATTTTTACTTGAAAATCATACCTGGCATATTCCTAAGATTTTGTTAGATTTCTTATGCAAAAGCCATGTGAAATATAATTGAATGATCTCTGATTGGAAGGACATTGCAACTTGAGACGCGTGAGATCTGATAGGATGGACTTTGGAGCTTGGTTCACTTTTATTGTTATGAAATAGTCAAGTTTTTTACATGTGTTGCATCTACTGCTCTATAATCTAATTTTTATTTCCATTGGTAACATGAAAATTTGAAATAATTCGGCATGCCAACTGGGTGTAGCTACAACTATATGCTTACTGCCTATAGCTACAACTATATGCTTACTGCCTATAGCTACAACTATATTCTTACTGCCTATAGCTACAACATACTGTGGTACACTGTACTGCTAATTGCTTAGTAGAGAACCATGTTATTGTACTTTTACTAATTATTACTTATGCAGAAATTTTCTTGTTTTATAGTTTCATTGTTTCCCCGTTTTCTTTAATTGCAAAATTTTAATGGTTTTCACAAGTTGTTTTAGTCCTTAATACATTACTACTGATTTTACTTTTTCTATGAAGGTTGATTCTTCTTCTGCAAGTACACTTGGTGAAGAGGATTTGCTTGAGTCCCTTTTGGCAACAGTTGCTAGTAAAGATGAGTCTTCTACATATGCATTCTTGAATGCAAATAGTGAAAATGAGTATTGTAAGAAGTTGCTGACAATGTGGAACTGGTGAGCCATCTACTTTGCTCCTCCAGTTTTGTTGTCATGTTTCCCTCTTGACCTATTATTCTTTAGGCGTATTCCCATTTGGCCAATTACTAATAGTGACTTCATATTCCAGATAATTAATATATAGTGGCTTAAACCATTAGGACCTATGTATGTTCATATTATCAATTCATTTTTAGAGGCCTGATTTTTCATTATGAATTTGATAGCTTGGAGCCATCAACACGGAGAGTTTTGTCTCTCGTTGCTGAAGTCAAGACTCTAGAAAATGATAAAGAACATCTAAGGATTAACCTTGACAGAGCTGAAGAGGAGGTGAGGACTTCTTTCGTGGACCTCTACTGTTTTAGGATCAACAATGCATAACTAACCTGATTTGGTATACCATAGGTCAAATTATTGTTTGACGAAAATAGCATGTTGGATGAGGAGAATAAAAGATTAGCGAAGCGATGCAAGGAAAGGAACCATACCGGTTCTGGTGGGAAACTTACCGGCAGTACATCTGCCAAGGTGAGATATGTAATACGCATCTTCTACCTGGAAAATGGTCCTCTCGGGTTAAATTTTACCATGATAAAGTCATGTTCAAACTTTATGTCTATCTTTCTTCTTATTGACGTTCTATTGGTGGGGCTCTCTGAAGAGAAATAAACATAACCTTTTTATATAACTTATAGACGTTATCTCACCTTTAATTTTACATATTTATAACAGAACTTTTTTCTTTTCTTTTTTGGCCTTTCAGTCAAACAAGAGAAAGTCTAGTCCCAAGACAAATAGCCCGATGGCGAGGAAGATCGATTTTGATGAAATAGATTCCGCAAGACAACCTTTGTCTCCTTTGCGAAATAACTCTCCCGATTGCCGCATGTATAAGAAATAAAGTGGCTATGTCATTTAACAGGCCTGGTAATTTCTTCACTGCAAAGTTATGATAGTGTTTCAGATTTACTTGCTAGTCTAATCTTTGCTTGTAAGAATTGCTATGGATCATTCTCAGTGGAAGGGGCGCAATTTCTTCGATTGAACTCATAACATGTAAATTTCTCATTACTAGTCTAATCGTTTAACGCTTATGTGACGCAACTCTTTGATATTCAATTTTGTTGACCCTTTTTAGTATGCTTGGAAAATATAGTAAATTGAAGCTTATAATTAAAAATCAACTATAGTTGCTTTTTTATTTCTGTATCGTTGTAAAAGTTTTGCTGTATGTTATGTTATAGGACGCATAATGGGGTAAGAGTGTGAGTGAGCTAATCCTAAATGAGTAATTATACAGCCAACTATTGAGGTTAAAGTAAAATAATTTTGACAATATATGTGGTTGCGTGGTCAAAATTGGTTTGCACTTTAACTAGTTTACAAGTGTTAATTCAATGGGTTAAATTAAGACTTTGTATAAATTTTTGATTAGGTTTGTTATTTGTTTAAACTTTTTATTCTGAAATTAAAAAAAAAAAACTCAATCAATGGTATCTACATATAAATTATTATTATTATTAAACAGTTCATTTACTGTATCAATGGCTAGTTTGATTTTAAAAATATTGTTTATGTTGGAGCATCTTTCATGTAGGGGTCAAAACAAAAAATGATATGAGAACCAAAAGTAGGGTATTTTTTTTATATATAAAATTTAAAACAAAAGGTATTAAAATATAGGTACCAAATTTAACACTAATATAACTTAATATAAAGGGAGGTACTCATTCATAGATTACTTTTTATACAAGAACTAAATTATATGATTTTTTTGTAAGAATTAAAATGAAAAACTAACATAAAAATATAAAAAGTCAAGTTAATTAAAATTTTAAATTAACATTAGAAGAGTATATTACATATTTTATAAAAAAAATTATAATAAATTTCTAAATATACTAAGTTATAAGTAGATATTATGTATCACTATTTATTTTAGAATAAAATATTTTTTAAAAAAATAAAAACATTTTGTGTGAAAATCTTCAAATTAATTTTTTTTTCATTTATTCTTATGTGATTTTGACTGATTCGTAATCCATTTTTTTATTTCACCAATTTACTGAGTTATCCGAACTGAGAACTTGATTAATTTTTTAATCTAGTTAATCGAATTAATCGATCTGGTCAAAGTGTCTGTACCTTGGTTTTCAGGAGCAGTTTTTGCGCATATTATAACATGGGCTAATTTAATAATTATATATTCTAGCAGTTTTAGTTTGAGCACTACATTGAGTAAGCATAAATGAAAATTTCATTTTCAACTCATGGTCTTACGCATGTTGTGTATGACATCAACTATCGATCGATCCCCATCGCACAACCTTCCCAACCATAAATACAAATTCAGTTAATTAGAACTACGCATCCATGAATAAAACAACAAGATGACTTGAATTATTGATAGAATATTGTCTTAAAAAAAATAAAAATTTCTCAAGCCTTATAAAAAGAGTTATGACTCTTCCCAACTGACATGAGATATTTTAACATACTGTGCAATTCATGTAGAGATATAGGGATCATTCTGTCTCATTTAATGACAACTTTCTCATTCATACACTTAATGTTGTGGTTATATAAAGGGTACATGTACCTTTTTTAGGTGGTTATATAAGAAATTGTCGTGTGTCAAAATTTACCTAGTCATTCATAGACTAATATTGTCGTTAAAAGAACTAAATTCTATTTTTAAATAAAATCTATTGCAATTTAACCATCGTAAGGGTGGGTCCATCAAATTTTAAAAGTCCTTAATACCTAAAGATTATATTGAACCGTTTTTGAGAAATAATATCGATTGCTCCTTTGGCATTCCCATGCCTGCTTCCCATTTTGCACCATGATTCTGGCATTACTAATTACATTATGTTTGGTATACTTTATATATCAAACTCATGTTAACAAGTGGGGCAAACTCTTAGACTCAATTTTCTCCAAATGCCCCACCTCCCTCAAAGAGACATTCTTCAAAAGTTTTAATGCTTTTATCCTTTAATAATGACATAATCCTATAAAAAAAATCCATATGTATTATTTTTTAAGGTTTAATTAAGTGTTTTATTTCTAAAAAAGTTATATGATTTGAAGTTAGTTCCTATAAAATATTTTGTTAAAATATATTTTATTATTTCACAAACTATTATTTTTAGAGCTGTGCAGATCTGACCAAACCGCTCCAATCCGTATGAAACTGAAGAACCCACTCAAACAAAACGGATATGAACGAGTTTTGGCTAAGTAGAATAATTTTTCTAGGTTGAAATGGTTAAATGTAGTCGGTGGCCGATTTAAAATTAGAGAACCATCGAATTCCGCCATTGACCGAATATGTGTGTGTGTTGAATTTGGGCTCAGGTCCAATTCTGTCATTAGGTTGTAATTAAGAGTACATAACAAATTTGAACATTTATTTTCCTCTTTTCTTTAGTTCGTGTGCCGACCCTTTCTTTATTATCTTTGAGCTCTGCTAAGGTTTGAAATTTCTTTCCTTCTCTGTGTCTCTTTTTTGTTACAACCATTTCTTTTTTCATTTTAATACTCTTACTCTCAACTGGTCAACCCAACTTTCCTCTTTACTAAGGTAAGCATTTTTTTTGACTTTTTATTCCTTTGGAGTTAGGGTTATGATTTTTATTCTTTAGTTTTTGTTAATATTGTTATGTGTTTTTGTTGTTTAGTTTAATGGACTACTAAGTTTGTGTTGTTGTGGGTAATGGGTTTACTCATTCTTTTTTTTTTGTAAGTTATTTTGTTATAGTGTCGTTTCTTAATTTATTGTTGTTTTATTTTTTCTCAATCAATATGAATATGATTATACCCTTTTTCTCTATTTTAGGTTTTTCTTTCTTTCTGCTTCTATTGTCATGACTTTTCCTTGCAAAGGTAAATTGATTAATTAGACTCTGATACTTTAGAAATGTTTAGTAGTTGAAACCTAATTACTTCTGATTAACTAAAATATTTAGTGCTAAAAATACTTGTAAAGAAAGTTTAAAAGGTCGCATTCCGATTAGGGATGGAAATAAGCTAGACTAGGCTAGGCTAGACTTTCTATAAATAGGCATAGCCTATCTAATAATTTTGAAGCCTAAGTATTACTTGACATAAACTTTTTAGTAAGCCTAACTTTTTTAAAAGCCTGATTTAGCTTATTAGTCTTTTTAATGATCTATTTCGTATCGAGACATTCAATAAGTCATTAAACTTTCTTATAAATAAACTATAAACCATCTAAATAAGCATGTTTTTTAAAAGTCATAAGGCTTATATCTAAAGAAACAATTAAAAAATAATATAATGTAAACAAATACGTAAGATTGTAAAAAGATATGGATGAGATGAGACAAACTAGTGACATACATAATCAAAACAACACAATATAAATCAATATTATGAATATAGAATATGCAAAAACTCTAGTAAATAGAGTTCTCTCTTAGAAAATATATAGTAGAGACATTCTTTAACTCTAAAGAAAAGGATTAGAGTTTTTAATTTAAAATTTTATTATTTTAAAATTTAATTGATTTAATATATTATTATATTATATTTTATATAAAATTATTTAAGATATTATTATAAATTTTATGAATTTTAAATAGACCATTCTAATAGGCCTAATAGATTTTTTCTTAAGTTCAAGCCTAACCTATTTAATTAATTAAGCATTTTAAAAAGCTTAAATTAAGCCTATTAATTAAATAGGCTAGGTTGAGTTAGGCTTTAAATAGGCTATGCCATAGGTCCCTGTCAGATGGCCTAGCCTATTTCGATCTCTAACTGTGATGAATCCTTGCTATGTGTGCTTACACCATAAATAACTTCACAATTCAATATAAACTTGATATTAACTAGTTGCACATACTATCCTGCTGTATTACTCTGGCTTAAATCATATTGAATTTGAATTATCATTGTGATTGACATTGACTAACACTTTGTTGTGGTTGTGAAATGTGTTTTCTTTCCAATTTTGTATTTCTCTTTTGCTTCAATTGCTTTTTTTGATATCTATATGTTCACATAATTTCTTATAGTATTATTTTGACTTATGAGAAAATTTTTGACATAAAATTTCTTCATTTGTTTTAATTGCTTGTACTATCTACATCTGTTTTGACTGCTTGTGTTATCTTCTCCTCTTACTAAGATGTTTTTTGTGTTTGATAATTTGTGATATAATGGACAGAAATGAAAAAAATTAAATTAAAATAGTTTCATGTGATGCATGCTTTTAGAATTAACAGGTATAGTATAAATAGATAGATTGTTTACCTCCTATATTTTAGGTAAGATTATATATATTTTCTTTTTAATTTATCGGTACAAGTCTGATAAGTGTTTTTTTTATAAACCTATTTTTCTCGTTTAATTATTACTTTTCTGTACAAACTTGTTCCTTAATGTATAGGTTTTGTCCCTTTATAGTTATTTCTTTTTCTTAAAATTTTTTTATTCAACTTGAATAATCTTTTTGATTGATTGAAATTTAATTGTTGATACTATTTATGTCCATGTCACAAGTTTTTGAGACAATAGATTTTTTTTTAAAAAAAAATCTTTTATTTATAATATTGTCTATTTAAAATTACAAGTTAATATTCATGTATAATGAGGTGTCATTTGTATATCATGTGGAACATGAAAAATAAAAAAAGAGCATAGTATGTCTAGAAACCATCTCTTATACAAGTTTTTTACTATCATGAAGTTAATTTTCTTGTAGTGTCAAGAAGATAGGAATCAATATGGTCGAATTTGATCTTAAGGATAAAGGCTTGACTGAAATTATCTCATTGAAAAATTTGAATGAGCAGCAGAAAGGTAATTATTATATTTTTATTATTTCATATATACAAATCCTTTGATGCATGAGATACTTAATTATTTATTGTTTAAAAAAATAATTAAAACATATTATTAATGTAAATTATTTTGTATTATCATTTAATCATATATTGTCTTATAGTTCATAATTGTTATTTTCTATAGTAATTACTTCTAAAAGTTATATATTTAGAGTTATTTTTAATTAATGACAATAATAAAACTCTTTCAATAATAATGTATCTTAATTAAACTATTTTAAAA